GATTTGAACCAAAGACTTCATCATTCAGTGCAAGCTGCACTAATCAACCAACCAGCTCAATTGGTGTGATTACTTGCATCTGTTTTTTCTTTTCTTCTTTCTTCTTTTCTTTTCTCTCTGCTCCTTTTTTTCTTTTTTTCCCTTCAAAATGCGTGAACCTTTTCTTTTCAAATTTATAGATTTTTTCTTCAAAATATATGAACTTTTTCCAATTTTGTGTTTTTTGTTCCAAAATTGATGAACTTTTTCCAATTCTGTGAATTTTTTTTTACAAATTTAACGAATCTTTCTTAAAAAAGTGATGAACTTTTTTTCAAAATTTACATTTTTCTATAAAAACACAATGACCTTTTTTAAAAATTTGCGAAATTTTTTAAAAATTTGATGATTTTTTAAATCGTTAAACTTTTTTTTATTCTGTGAACTTTTTTGAATTCATTAATTTTTCGAATTTTTTTATATTTTTTTGTAAAAGTTTTATTCAAAAAGTAAATGGTCCGCGATGAACCGGTCAACCGCAACTAGCAAACCAGGTCCCGATCAAGCGTTCGGCTCATTCTGTGGGCCGCCGGCCCATGAGAGGGTTCACGTGAGCACCATAGTCCTTAACTTTGTCTGAAAAAAAAGAGGTCCCAGTATTTATGCCAACTAGGTGGATGGATACCCAGCGGGACATGTAGTAGGATTCTACTAAGTGCTAAATGGCTCGGTCTCAACTGTTAAACACACGTGATAGGAGGTCACGCACCCACGCACGGTCGATCAAGTCTTGCACCGAAGGTAGCTAGCTAGGTTGTTAGGATTCCTATCTATCTCTATAACTTGAATATCTTTCCTTAGCTTATCCGTTGTTTTGCAAGATGTAATTTGAACCGATGTACACGATCAGGGAGTCGCGCCCCTGTGCTATAAACTCGTAGCCGTCGCCCAGGAAGGGGCACGACGTTTCAACCCTAATTCTCACATGGTATATAGAGCCTAACTCTTCCATTTTATCTAGCCACCACTAGCCTTTCGCCATGGCTTCATCCTTCTCCTCCAACACCGCCCTCTCTGGCCAGATTACCGAGAAACTCACCCGCACCAACTTCATCCTCTGGCGGACACATATCATGCCACAACTTCGCGGTGCAGGCTCCTTCGGCTATGTTGATGGCAACATACCGGAGCCGGCCAGGGTCGTCGTCACCAAGGACAAAGACGGGAAGGAGGAGACCACACCCAATCCCCTTCATCCCATCTGGTTCCGGGAAGATCAACAGGTACTTGGCTACCTTCTAAATAATCTTTCCAAGGAGGTGCTCGTGCAGGTGACATCGATCGCCCATGCTTAGGAGCTGTGGACGGTAGTGGCGAACATGTTCTCGTCACAATCGCCGTCACGCATCAACAACATCCGTGTCGCGCTCACTAATACGCAGAAGGGGACTTAGTCTATCTCGGAATACTTCGCGCATATGCGCTCCCTCCCCGACGAGCTGGTCGCAGCGGTCAAGCCGCTCCAGGAAGACGAGCTCATCTCCCACATCCTCGTCGGCCTCGACATGGAGCACCAGCCTCTCGTCTCCGCCCTCGACGCCCGCACTCAACTAGTCACCCTTGACGAACTCTTTGATCAGATAAGTAATTTCGATCAAAGGGTGGCCTTGTTCCAGGGAGCGAACTCCGGCGGCGGTTTCAGATTGTCCGCCAACGCCGCCATGCATATCCGCAATGGTGGCTCATGCCATCGAGGGATACCGCGCGACAAGGGAAAAGGCACTGGCGGCGGCAACAACAACACCAACACCCGCGGTGATGCTCGCGGGAACAGCAGCAACAACGGCGGCGGCGGTCGGCCCTCCTACTACAACAGGGGCCGACGCTCCAACTCCAAAAAGTGACTCGATGCCATCCGATGCCAAATCTGTGGCAAGCCTGGCCACTCGGCTAAGGATTGCTGGTATCGTTTTGATGGTGATCATGAATCATCTCAAGACGAGAAGGTGGCGGGCGCAGCTAATGGCTCATACGGCGTGGACACAAACTGGTATGTGGACAATGGTGCCACGAACCATATCACCGGTGAGCTCGAGAAGGTGACCATGTGGGAAAAATACCGCGGGCAAGGTCACATCCACACTGCTAATGGAGAAGGTATGAAGATCAGTCACATCGGTCACAGAGTTATTAAAACTCCTCATAGAAAAATCCATCTTCAATTTGTTTTGCATGTCCCTAGTGCTTCAAAGGATCTTCTCTTTATTCATCGTATTGCCATTGATAACCATGTTTTTCTTGAGTTTCTCCCTTTCTTCTTTTTGACCAAGGATCATGCAACAAAGAATGTGCTGTATCGAGGTAGATGCGTTCGTGGGCTTTACCCTTTGATCCTGGAGATTAGAAGATTCAATAAACAAATTTTTAGTGCCACCAAACTATCGCCTACACGGTGGCATGATCATTTAGGCCATGCATCCTTCTCATTAGTTGAGAAATTGCTTAGAAAAAATAAGCTCCCTTATGTTCGGGAGCGTGATATTGAAACAATTTGTGATTCATGTCAGAAAGCTAAGAGTCATCAATTACTTTATCCCGTGTCTACTAGTATTTCTACCAAGCCATTGCAACTCATTTTTTCTGATGTTTGGGGACCTGCACCCTCTTTTGTTGGTAGGCATACATATTACGTGAGTTTTATTGATGACTATAGCAAGTACTCATGAATCTATCTTCTCAAGAAGCGATCCGATGTATTCCAAGTTTTTCGCAATTTCCAAGCTCTCGTTGAACGCAAGTTTGATAGCAAAATCATAGCCCTCCAATCAGATTAGGGAGGTGAGTATGAAAAATTAAATACCTTTTTTTAAGAACTTGGCATCTCTCACCATGTTTCTTGTCCTAATGCTCACCAGCAAAACGGGTCTGCTGAGCGCAAACACAGACACATCGTAGAAGTTGGTCTTGCTCTTTTGGCTGGTGCATCTATGCCTCTTAAGTTTTGAAATGAGGTGTTTCTCATTGTAATTCACCTCATAAACATTCTTCCCAGTCGTGTTATCAACAATGAAACACTCCAGGTTAAACCAGACTACCACTGGTACGCGTCAGTTCTATACAAACAGTTTTTAATCCTTTTCCACGACGAACCGCCGCCTAGTGAGTGATGTCGATAGAGGGGTCCTTCCCACACGACCCAGAAACCATCGGGGATATGCCCTCCTGGCACACACGCTCGGCAAAATGAATTCATTTATGGCTATATACCGTCTATGAATTGAAAACAATATGAAAAATATGAAAAATCTAATAGACGGTATGAAAAATGAATTCGTGTGAGAAAACTGCATAGACGGTATATAGCCATTAGTAGCAATTGTTTTCAATTTTTTTAATTTTTTTAATTTTTTAATTTTTTTTCTTAATCTCGGGTTAATATGCTTAATCTCAGGTCAAATCGTACTCTATGGTCAAACTTCCCCGAAGGTCACCCATCCTCACACTACTCCAACCCGAGCACGCTTAACTTCGTAGTTCTATCCAACCCCAGCACCACCTCACTTCACAAGCACTTGTTGATATATCTATCATATCAATCCTATTAAACCTTGCTGATGTCTAGGACTTAGTTCATGAGTATGATGAAATTTTGAAAAAATATTTCAAACATCCCGGTCATATTACGTATCATATTTTGAAAAATAATTCAATTTTTTTTCGAAACTAATTTTTTTCTGTTACTAGTGGCGCACCTAGCATACAGTGCGCCACTAGTAAGTTTAAATTTTTTTGAAATTTTTTG